TAATTCTCCTCCTGTGCAAGGGAGAGGATCCAGATGTGCCCTTCCAGAAGAGCATCCAGCCTTGATCCGCCGTCTTCAGCAGCTGTAAAGTCCACAGCCCCCTTCAGCCCCTGGCTCCTGGCAGGGGGATCGCCCGCAAGGCCACAGCGTGGAAGGGAAAAAAGGGGTGCCCTGCATTTTGATGCCTGTAATTCGTCTTCCCCGTGCCAACAAGGCTGAGCTCCAACGGGGCAGTGGGGCTGGACCCCGATGTGTCTTGGCCACAGCACCACGACACCAAGGTTTATGCCACTCGTAGGGACAGAGATGCTCGTCCTCATGGTCAAACTAAGGTGGAAAAGGCAACGGGGAGGGTCCGATCTCAGCTGAAAGAGCCGCCGGAGCTAACTGAAATATGGCAGAGCTTTCACAAATTCGCTATTTAAAATAATTAATCCCTGGGTGCTTTTCCAGCATGTTTTTCTAAAAACATGCTTGCATCTCTTGCCAAAACGTTAAGAAAATCTATGAGAAAGTTTTAGTTACCAAGTTTTTGATTATTTTTCTGTTGGTTTCTTCTTCTCTCTTACCTCTCTCTCTTTCTTTCCTCTTTCCCCTTTTCATCTTGTCATGGAAAAAAGAGAGAGAGGGAAAAGGGAGAAAAGACCTGCAAATAGACCAAAACATTTTCCAGGTGTTGGGTTTTTTTTTTTTTTAGCTTAGCTTTCACTGAAGTGCCAATGTTTTACAAACAAATCACATTTTTGAAAAACAAAGGGGTTTCAACAAAAGCAGAAAGACTGAGGGATCTCCAGACCAGCGCGTTTTCTATAACCCCCCTGCCCACGAGAGCAGATTTGCCTGTATCAATTTTGCAGTGCTGCTGCTGTGCCCCTGTTGGTGGACAAATGAAGTCAACAGAGAAAACTGATAAAGACTGAAATATTCCAGTGCCGACATCTTAGTAGAAGGATATTTTTTAATGATTGTTCTTATAAAAAAATCTATGAAGTCTATGTATTTCTGTATTTGTCCACATTTACAGGCAAATGGATTCTGTGACTTCAAGCCAACACCTCGTACCTCTCCAGGGACGCAGCAGTGGGTGAGCCAGTGGCACATCAAGCCTAATGCAACGTCTCGCTCAAATTCTGCCCTACCCCAAATCGTGGCAAATTCAGCTCCAGACGGCCCAGCTCCGCAGCGGTCTCCTGCCAGGACGAGGCTGGCCCTCTCCTACCCAGGGCCTGCCCGGCTGGGTTGCAAGCGGCCGCTATGGAGTGATTTGCTTCAGGTTAACCTCTCCACCATCACATCTCCCTTGGTACTCCCTAAAACCCAGGCACTCATCCGAGCTCTGGGTCCAGCGTGCTCGGGAGGTGCCGGGGCGGCTGCGCGGCGCTGCTGGCTGGAAGGGAGGGTGGGAAGAGAGAGATGGGATGTGCTGACCTTGCCATCTGCTGCCACGTGCGTCACCAGGGGGTTCCCGTTAATTACAAACCTCTCATCACTTCAAACAAGGGTCTGCTTGTTGGGCCACGCAACGGGGAGGCCCATGGAGGTGTCAGATCACTTGGCAGGGAAAGAAGTCCCAGAACAGGCAGTATTTAGGATGCTAGCAGCTAACTGGGATGCTCTGACCCTATGGCCACAGCTTCCCTCCCACCCACCTGAAATGGCTGATGCTTTGGTCACAGGTTGAGCCAACATCTTTCTCTCTCGGGGTCCTCAATGCATTGCAGAGGCCTGGAGCGTAGCCCTGACTCGTGGGGACCCTGCCACGGGAGTCACACAGGTGAGGAACACTGTAAGCAGGGGACTCGCTTGCTGGGGGCTGATTTGGGTCAGTGCCCTCATAGCCTGGGCACCCTGGAAAGGCTGACAGCTCCAGCGAGCAGAGGATGCTGTGGGTCAGGTCTGGAGATCTGTCAGGTAAAGTCTGGGTCACAGCAGGTGATTCAAGGCCAATAGATGCACGGAGCAGGGCCAGTTTCACCCCAAATCAGCACTGGGGACAAGCTGAGGATGAGCACGCACACGCGCAAGGAATGTGACTTCCTCCGTCCCCTCCGTCTCTGCCCTCCTGGCACACCCATTGCCCCTCTGCTAGCCCAGGTGCCAGCTTGCAGCGGGCTTCTTCCCACCTGAGCCTGCCACGCCAGCCACAGGGCTGCCCTTACGTAAAAAGCAATAATGCCAAATGAACTGGAGTTGTCAGAAGACAGGGTCCCTTGGGCAGAGGCTCAGGAGAAGCAGCTTTCCTCAGAAACAAGATCGTTCCAGCCCCAGGAGGGACGTGGACACCAGCTCATTGTACCAGGACACGGGGAGGGAGATGCTGCTCTCTTTGGGGACACAGCAGCCAGCTAAAACGCACTCGGTGCCTCAGAGAAGCAGGAGAGAGCAGCAAGCTCTGCGTGTCCTCCTGGTAGAGCAGCCACAAGTGCCAAAAAGGTGAAAGAGCAAAGAAAAAGAAACTTGGGAGTTTAAAGCTATAGACCTGTCCCTGGCTGTTGCCGCCCTCCTTGCTGCAAAATAAAGTCGGGTTTATTCCATTCCTGGCACACAGGGGAAGCCTTTTACCTTACTTCACCTCCGGGGCCCCAAGCGGCTGACGTCTCTTTTTATGCTCCAAGCGCAGATTTAATCATCATTTAATCTGCGTTAGCAGCTACACTCAGATCAACGTTTTAGCCTTAAACGGTTCAAAACCGACCAGTCTCAGATCTGCACATTATTAATATTGCAACGGACTGCCATGAATTCATCCCAGCTCTGGGCATCACTAACACTGGCTGCACGTCTGTTTAACAGCGCCTTCAGCCTCCTTTGGTATAGCTTTCCCCCGTGTTTTCTTCCCAGATGTCTCCTATTAAAACCATCGTCACAAATTTTGACCAAGCGGGAGAGGGGAGGGAGAGGAGAGCGGAGATACCCACCAGAAACGGTCCCCTTATAAAGCTCTCAGATTGTGTTGGCCTCCAAACGGCTCCTTCCCAGCCCCAGAAGGTCTTCCGGAGGCTGCAACCAAGAGCAGGAGCAGCAGGTTTCAGCTCAGAGGGAAAGTAATGAACATCAGAAAAGAAGGAATGCATGCACAGTTTTAGCTGCTCGTGGAAGTGCAAATGACAGCTCCTTGCTGCCAGCTCCTATTGCCCGTTCACAGGGAAGAGTGGCCAAGAGGGCCAACGGCATCCTGGCTTGTATCAGGAATGGTGTGGCCAGCAGGAGCAGGGCAGGGAGCGTCCCCCTGTGCTGGGCACTGGGGAGGCCGCCCCTCGAATGCTGTGCTCAGCGCTGGGCCCCTCACCCCAAGGCGGCCATGGAGGGGCTGGAGCGTGGCCAGAGCAGGGCAGCGAGGCTGGGGCAGGGGCTGGAGCCCAAGGCTGGGGAGGAGCGGCTGGGGGAGCTGGGGGGGCTCAGCCTGGAGAAGAGGAGGCTGAGGGGAGCCCTCATCGCTCTCTGCAACTGCCTGAAAGGAGGCTGGAGCCGGGGGGGGTCGGTCTCTTCTCCCCAGGAACAAGCGATGGGACGAGAGGGAACGGCCTCAAGCTGCGCCAGGGCAGGTTTGGGTTGGGTATTATGTATGGCTGTCTTTGGCAGTCGTGGGTTAACGGCTGGACTCGATGATCTTAAGGGTCTTTTCCAACCTAAACAATTCCGTGATTCCAAGAGCTGTGCACTTACGGGCATGCTCGTCCCTTCCCTGCTTCCTCAGGCAGAGGATGTCCGGGAACAGAGTGATCCTTGCAGCCCAGCTTGGGGAAGACGTGGCTGGCCCACAGCATCCCCTGGATGCTGGAGGAAATAACCAGCAGCTTCCGAGACCTGATAAATATTCTCCATGACACCTGGGCTGAGATTGATCCCAGGTGCACGAGTCCGCTCCTGCCTTATTCACCCCATCACCCTCTCCCCCCTGCCCTGGGGAAACCACTTTCCTGCTTATGATGAACTGCAGGGCTCCGCGGGCTTCCTGGCCTAACGCCTGCAAACACAAACCCACCGCCAGCCTGTCCGAGAGAGACCAAGTCTGCCCATTTGCGGCTGAAAGAATGACTTTCTAGAGAAAACCTGGCATTTTACATCCTCCCTCTTATTCCTCTGTACGTTAATAAAACATGTTGGCGTTTGAAAGGAAAAGCTCTGGGTGTTTCTTATTAAGCAGCAGGGGGTCTGCAAAGTCTGCTAAATACTTAATTGAGCATCAGCAGGTTCCTTTGGTAACTGCAGACCTTCACCGAAGAGACAAGCGTGTCCCCCCTGCGCAGAGCAAACTGGAAAGGTTCACAGCCCGACGCCCAGCACGGAGCAGAAATGCCCCTGCCATTTCAGGCCGCGTCGCGCTCGCCGAAAGGCCTCCGCTGGGCTGGCTGCCAGCCGATGCGAGCAGGGCCGGGGTTTCGGTGTTGTACCCTTTAAACCCGCTCAGGAGGAGTGCTCTGGGCTTGCCTGTGCCCGCGTTCTTCAGGGGGGTAAAAAAGGCAAGTGGTTTTTTTACTCAGCTCGCCCCCCAAATGAGCAGAGTATCGTTGTATAGCGATCTGTTTAAAAAGGAAGGCCGGCCGTATCTGTTGAAGCCAACTGCACTGGTGCCAGTAACAGAAAGATTTAAATTGGGAGAGGGTGCTGCCTCTAAAAGCTTGATTTTACACAGCACTGCACCCCTTTGCTCCCTGTGGACTCTGGGGTGGGCTCATTCTGGGCACCAGACTACCTGCAAACTCTGTGATCTGGGAATCCTGGGCAGGAAACAGCGATGACACTGGGAGAGGGAAAGAAATAATGGCAGAGCGTTTTTTGAGCGGAAGAGCTGCCTTCTAGCTGTCACTTTCCATACCCATGTTGAGCTGAACGCAGCGTCACCTCTGCAGCGTCAAATTTCATCAACTTTATTATTAGAGAAAATACAGGTTTGCATCAAAGTGGTCATAAAAAAACCAACCAAACAAAAACGCTTGACACAGGGAATTCAACACACAGACGTGACACACATCCACGGGGACTGCCAGCCCCATCCGCTACTGCATCTCCTCCTCCCGCTGGGCCCGGTATTCCTTCATGCTCCTCTGCAAACAAGAGCGAAGGACAAATGTTAACAGCACGTATCTGAGTGACTCATATACCACGGTGCCGCCACCCTGGTCTGTGCCGGGACTTCTCTGTCCAGGGCCTGGAAAGGCTGAGGGACCCGAGAAGCTCTGACAGAGCTCCGGGTACTTTCAGAAGCGACTGAGCTTTACAGCCACTCCGAGGGCCAGGAAGCCCGGCCACGCCGCAGGTCAGGCAGAGAACGTCTGAAAAAACTATCAGGTTTTTCATGGCACAAGTACCTACAACACAGGTCTCAGCCCATTCCTCTCCCCTCTGAGACAGAGAGACAGAAAAGGCCCCTGAGCTCTTCAGGACGAGTCTCACCTCAAAGGTGTCGAGCACATGTTGGCAAACACCCATCAGGTCATTCAATCCTTTCCGGAACGGCTCAACAGCAGGAAGGGCCCCTTCAGGAAAGAAGATGCGTTAGTGAAACGGCAGGTGGCTTCCAAAGAGGTTGGTAGCCCTCTCCCTCGCCGCCTGGAGGCAGCGTGGCTGTTACCACCATGCCCAAGGGCAGGCCCCGCGATGGGAGAGGCTCTTACACCAGGTACGAGCCCACCATCAGCGGGCTGAGAGCTGAGCTCAGCGCGGTGGTCCAGGCTGCGGCGCAGGAACAGCAGACACTGACCCTGCAGTTAGACCCATGGGGAAGGGGTTCCCTTGGCAAAGAAAACAGCCTGAGCACTAATTATTCTTAGGAAATTAAGAGTCAGCAAGCACAAACTAGATACTTGCTTCCAGAAAGCAGCTTCTACGTATCTGATGCTCAAGGGACCAGCCCCATGAGGAAGGGATGAAATACCACTGCCCCTCCGGGCAGCAGGCAAAGCTGTGGAGCTTGCAGGGCCCAAAAGGAGGGCAGCGGGCTGAGCCGAAGGGGTTGGTGTGCCGGGAGGAGTGAGTGACTGCAAGAGGCTCAGAGCTGTCGGCGCTATCTATTACCAGGGAGCGTCCTCTTTGGGAGCAAGTCACAAGACAGCACAGACTGATGAGGTTTTCCAAAAGAGCTTCAGGTCATAGCCTGATGACCAAAGCTGCAAGACAGCTGAGAAGGAGAAGCAGAAACGAATTATCTCATTGCAGCTATACACGTCAGCACGCTTTGGCTTTGCTTTCCAGTCCCTGTGCTGATTTAGGGGCAGACGGAGCACCCATCGCCTGCGACAGGGAGTAGCACATCTACGCTACCCTGGCACTGCAGTTCGGTGCCTGCTGCCAGCCAACCCAAAGAGCTGGGACCAGCTCAGGCCTGAGCTGGCTCAGCCCTACAGCTGGGAGACCGAAGAGCTGTAGCATAATGGCTCAGGGCCGCCTCTCCGGCTGAGCAACAGGGCACAGCAGTTGCAGGCGGCCAGCAGAGAAGAGGGAGAAAAGTGCTTTTCATTATTTAAATGACTCAGGGTGGAAACCCGACACAAGCAGGGGGAGTTACACAAAAAACCGGCCCTGTACACAAAGGAAACATGCATCATACCTCTGGTCTGGATCCTGAAGTTGATCTTGCTTTCAGAGGGGTGTGTGATACAGTAGCCACAGAACTCCACATCAGGGCTGCAGAAGGGGAGAGAGGAGAAGAGAGCAGTGAAACCCAGGCCAACCCACAGCAAACCTCAGGAAAGTCAGAGGCTGAGGCCACTGCAGACCTGCCGGGGCTCAGGATGTTTCTAAAATGACTCAGGGTCCTATGGGAGGGATGTGCTGAAGGGAAACTACCTGTGTAACCGTATTCACACCCTTCCATCTCTCTCTGAGCTGCAGCTGGAGCTTTGCAGGGGCAGGACGTGGCTGGCACCATCGTAGGCACCATCCTGGCACCACCAGCGGTCCGCTGGCAGGCCTGCGGAGTTCAAACAGGGGATCCTGGATGCTTGGGAACCTCGCTGCACACAAACCTATTGCAGTTCTGCTGGGCAAAAGAGGCTGACAGGTCTAGGGCACTGCAAGGATTTACTGAGATGGTTTGCAGGCTGCATGGCATCTGCCTTCCTAAGCTGAGGTAGGTGGTAGAACATCTGTGCGCCCAGCAGAAAGAACAGCCCTTTGCAAGAAGCCTGCTGTTTTTCTTGTCGTGGTGATTTATCAGAGGAATTCACATGACACTTGCAATGCAACTGTCATTTGAGATGACGCACTGAACTTCCTGCTGTAATCCTTCTGAGGCTTACCAGTAGATCTTCACAAACCCTCAGTGCTGCCCAGTTCGATAAAATCAGGCCACCAGGGTGAACCTATTTGTTTATTTTGATGGGGGCAGCAGGATAATTAATTCCCAGCATCAATTCCTGCATCCCCATGCAACCATGAAAGATGATCAATTTGCTTACTACTGCTGTTCCTCCCCTCTTTTCTGACAGCGCTCATCCCAGAAGGAGACAGAGGTACTGCCTGACCACGAGTACTTTCGTGGAGTTGCGCATCGTTTTACCCAAGGCCAAATAAGACATTCAGAAGCCTTTCACGTGTCAGACATTGCATTTCCTCCGTAACTAACCATCAGTGAGCAGCGAGGGCTGGCTGTTCCCGAAGGGATGAGGAGCTGGGAGCCACGAATAGTAAGACAGCCGACAGGGCAGAGGCCTCACTAGCTAGCCCTGTCCCACAGCACCCAAGCGAGGGAGCCGGGCGAATGCAAAGCTAGTAGCCAGGGTCAGCCAAGGGTCCAGATCATCAGGCAGGTTTGTGGGGGTGAAGCAGGTCCGAGGTCAGGCCAGGAAGTCCATCTGCGGGCCAGCATCATGTCAGGTAAGGGTCAGACACTACCCAGTGATGACCATCAGGTGTACAACGATGAGGAAGGGCTGTCAGGTCAGGAAGTCCATCCATGGGTCAGCATCCAGGTGAATGGAGTCTGCAGCCCAGTACAGGCTGAGCTGGAGACCCATGCTCCTACAACATAGCTCAGGAGGGACTGAAAGCCCTAAGCTGAGCTTAAATGGGGCTCCTTGGCCCATGGGCAGGGTGTGGGTGGAGGCCCCAGGTGTGGCTGGTCAGGCCCTTTAAGGCCTGTTAGTGCTCTCAGGGTCCTGACACTAACAGCACAAGGAAAACAACAATCCTGTGAAGACAGGTAGTAGGTAAGGAGTCTTGGGCACCGTGTGTGATATAAAGACTCTAACAGGCGTACACAGAGGTAGTTTCTAATCATTTGCCCTGTTCTAGCAACAACTGAGATGCAGATCAGTAAGGAGAAGGCCAGCGTAGGAGGCAGAGGTGCCCTCAGCGATGCCAGGCACCACAGAGGCTCCACTTACTTCTTCATGACCATATATCGGAGGGAGTTGCCGAGTGTGTGGTCCTCATCATGCAACACAAACGTGACGCAGTTTCCATCTGTCCCATCCGCCTGGACCTGCCACAAATGGGGAAAGAAGAGATGCTGTAAGGCTCTGAGGTAACTATTGTGCTCAGCTTCACCCGAGTAACTGGGAGGGCTTGTGTCTGGCTGGGCGGCCTCTGTGGCTCACGTCTCGGGTGCTGCAGTGTGACCAAGAGCACCTTCGCAGCAGAGGGAAAGCTGCAAAATGACAGACCTGAGAGAAACCTCTCCCCGGTTATCAAAGTGCCTGTGCATCCTTCCTCTTCACAGGAGAGGAGAGGAGCCCAAAGGAAGCTGTGGCTTCAGGACCTATGGTGGAAAGAAGCTGGGAGTGACTGTTCAGGTTGGTGTGAGCCTGGTCCCACCACCAGCCCATGGCTACATGGGAATGAGAGGAACAGTCAAAAAATCCCCAGGGAGGAGTACGGCCTGTCACCAGGGAAATCTTATCCCAGCTGAAAAACAACAGGAGCTGTAAGCCCCAATTCACGAGCTTAGGACGAGCCTGGGGATCCCATCGGTGAGCCTCAGGCTGCTGAGCCCCACGTGTAATGAACCCCGCAATGGCAGCAGCCAGCCCCTAATCCTCCTGCTGCTTTTGGCTCAGGCACCCAAAAAGAGCTTTACCAGCTAACACTTCCCGAGGAGCCTGGTTTGGGATCCCCTCCAAAACCAACAAGTCACCTAAAGAATCGCCGAGCTGTCAGAGGGCTGCTGAGCCTCTGACCTTTCCCCAGGCTCAGCGTAGCCGCCGTGGAGCCTGACATGCCCACACAGCCCCCAACCGCTTCCTCTCCCGGCAGCAGAGAGGTTTCAAGGTTAAGTGTGGAGCCAGGCTAAGACAAGCGCTGATCTCTTCACATCCTGCCTGTGGCCAAATCCTCAACCGCTCCAGGAGTTTTATAACCCCTCACATTTCCCCTCGGGTAGTAATACCCCCCTAGCAGTCCTGTTCCTCCTTCTGCAGGTATGGCCGCTGTGGGGAACTGATTCAGTGGTTCAGAAGGAAAACACAGACTGATTTTCATGGAGGAAGAGATCACCCAGACCTGCAGCACAATTCAAGGGCAGGCTCCCCGTGTGCCAGCTATCGCAGAAGGAGAGGTGCGATGCAGCAACATCGCATCAACGTCACGTCAGCAACGGGGACGTTGGCCTGATAGGGGCTCCCTCACCTCCCAATCCACAGCCAAAGCGGTAAGTCTTGCTGAGTGATGAAAATAAGGCCGTAAGTGGCAAAACCACCTTCCCTTGGTGCGGAAGGACAATGCATAAGTGACTTGCCACAGGTCACTCGGGCAGCCGGCGGCACGGATGAAACACCCTGCCTGCTCTCCCGCTTGCTACACCCAGCACCCTCTTCCCAAACGTAGCTGCTGGCCTCAGTCTCTCCTACTGCAAGGCCTTGCAAGGAAGTATTTATTAAAATTACTAGCACCAATCATACTCAAGAGCTCATTTTTTCCAAAGACTACAGGCTCAAACAAGAGCAGACTATCTCAGGAGGCGCCCATGGGCCAGGACACGTTGCCTGGCCCCCAGTTTGCTCCCTGCATCCAGTCTCAGGGTTAGAAGTATGCCCAGGTGCCAAAATCCCAAGTGCCGCCCCCCTGCCATGAGACAGGTACAGCTCTGGTCACTGGGACAGTGACACTCCCGCAGTTTGGTCAGGTGATGGGAGTTACACCTTAGCTCAGGTGTAGCTCTGCACCCACGGGGGCAGAGAGATGCTTTTCCAGATAGAGAGCAAACATTTACAGCTGAGTTACAAACGTTGCATAGAAATGATTTGAAAAATAGGATAACTGGGAGTTTAACGCGCAGTGCTGGGAGGTGCAGTGACTTCAGGCTCATTCCCAGAGCTGAAGGAACACGTGGGCATAGGAAGGGAGGGACAGACGCCTCTCTGGCATGGTGGGTGGGCCAGCTTGCGGAGCTGCAGCAAATGCATCAGAGCAGCAACCCAATGAATTTAAGCTGTCCCTGCCTCCTCAGCGCAGCGTAAGTACCCAGGGCATTGATCTGGCAGACGAAAGCCAGAGCATGGCTCTTGCACGCAGCTGGAAGGAACACATCGTGCTGAACCTGCCTGCTTCCCAGAGACTCAACTTATCTCTTCTCGTTCCTGTGGGGAGTCCTCGGATACAATTCTGGATCTCAGGACCATAAGCTTCACTGCTCCTCATCAAGCCATCGGCCCACCTCATCAGCTATCTCGCCTCTGGCACAGACGCTGTCCCATGCTTCCGAGGAAAACCGATGCATCGCCCTGATGGACAGATTCCTCCCCGGTCCCTGCAGAATCGGGTCTGTGCCCTGAGGCAGAAGGCTGAGATTTCTCAGGGTGTTTCTGAGTCTCATCTCAGAGGCATCCAGGCATCAAACTATTCACCACAAGAAACTTGTTCTCCTATGAGCCAATTTGTAAAAAAAAAAAAAAAAAAAAAAAAAAAAAAAAAAAAAAAAAAAAAAAAAAAAGCCCTGAGGCCCTGGAGTAGGGAATTCTGCTCATCTGGAGTTTTTCCTCTTTGGTTACACACCGCTTTGCTAGTCTCTGTACCAAATTGTCCTTGTTCTTGTATTATGGTAGAGGCGGAAGGAAAAGCTAATGAGATTTTGAGGCAGCTTTAGGATTGATCAAATTTGCTTGAGCCCCTCAGAGACAACAGAGATGGAAAAGCCCGTGCCTTGCCCACGACGGTCCGGGGTATGTCCTCCCAGCAAGGTCAGGATACAGCCCCTGCGACCCGGCCACCCACGTGTCGGACGCCCTCCTCCTCTACCTAGGAGCCTAAGAGCTGCAGTCTCGCGTCATCCAGAAGCTCTCCTGCTTAGAGGGGCTGGGATTTATGACGATGAATTATTTAATGTTGTATTTGGTGCCTAGGTAGTGCTGTGGCGGATACATTAGCACAGCGCTGAGATAGATGGGATCAGCTAGACATGAAGCGGGTGGGGAACAGTCCTGCAACTCACTTGTTCCTACGCTCGCTGCAGTTTATGCACAACTTTTCTTTTGTGTCAGAATATATGGTCCTTTGCTGGTCTTCATGAGCCAGTATCGCTTTCTGCATGTCCTCCCGTTTTCTGTACGGTCCTGCACTCCTCACGGAGGAATCTGCTGGTTCGTTGCCAAGGGCCTCTCTAGCAACTGCTGCTCTTCAAAGCTCAATTTCATTCATCACATCAGGCTTGCAGGATTGGGCTTCCTGCTGCAACCGTGACTTTCAGCCTGTGGGAGAAGAATATGGCTCTACAGAGCCTGAAAAAGGTAACTAGCAGAAGCCTGGCTACTGCTAAGAGACTCTAGGGTCTGTTGTGCCATTAGGAGAAGTTTGGGGGCTGTAGATTGAGAGACTATAGAACACTGTCGTATTAAGCTTCCCCCAAAGGCAGCTTTTAAAACCAGGCAACTTACAGAGCTCGCTTGTTTCTCCTGTATGGCTGCCCTGGTGCTCAGCTCCCCCCGTTCTCCACTGACAGACAGACAGACAGACTGCCGCCCCGAGCGCGCGATGGTCCTGCGTCGGCTCTCCCCGTCACCCCCCCCCCCGCCCCGCGCCCCGGCGGGGGGCGGCCCGCCCCCCGGGGGGGGGGGGGGGCCGGGGAGGCGGCCTGCTGCCCGGGCTGCCGGCAGCGCCAGCCAAGGCCTGACGGTACGCAGTCACCTTCAAAAAGCAAGCTTGTCCTAGAAAATGTTAGTCCTCACAAGCTTTAAAACAGGTTAGTCCCGACCTCCGGCTGCTTCTGGTCCCTACAGCACCACCTCAAACGCCTGAACTCCAAGAAACGCAACTGCAAGGCGCCTTCCTCTCGGTCCCTCCTCTTTCAGGACACGCTGCCGCCCCCCGCCCCCCCCCTCTCCCCCCCCCCCCCCCCCCCCCCCCCCAGCCCCCCCCGCCGCCGTCCGCGGGCTCTGTACCGGAGCGGCCGCTCCGTGCCAGGCACAACCGAGCGGTTTCACGGGCGGGGAAGAGGCGGGCAGGGCGGCGGGGGGGGGCGGCCGGGGGGGCCCGCCCCGGGGGGAGGGG